AACAAACAATAAAGGTCTGTCTATTATCTTAAAATGTCTCTGTTGTTTTTACACATCAGTTACGCAGATGGATTTGTTTTACGACTTTGACAAACAGCATACGACATGTTTCGCACCTAAAAGCAAAATGACATATATCACACGACACTGTTGGACGCATCTTGGAACTACGACACAAACCTCGCCATCTTCACCAAGATAACATATCCCAATCTAAAATAACAAGGTTATGTCAACCTAAATCAAATGCTTCACTTAAAATCTTGTTCGAAAGAAGCTATAATTCCGGTGCTATTTTGTATCCTACCGTACACTCTCTAAGGCACCATTGACACCCCTGTTGTTGATTCACTTAGCGCCATTTTCTTTAGCGTCTTAAGTTCGTATCTAAAGTGACACAGGTAATGATCGATGTGTGTACATTGATCTGTGTGATTGATTTTACTTCCTGTTTCATTTAACACGACTGGCTGACACACTGGGAATTCTCTTGACTGGTTCTGTGTGATTGCTTAATACACCTGTGTTTCTTTATTGTCTAATGGCGGAAGACAATTAATCTTAGTCCCATAACAGTGTAATTAAGGTAAGCAAATAATTACAGTATTAATATAATAAACGAGCCGACCCCCGGCGTATAATATGCCGCTATTTAGTTGTTTTATTTTCTACTTCATAATTTGTGAATTCGACAGTACCAATGCTGCCACTGAAAATATTTGCTTTAAAACACTATCAGTAGCTTGTTAAGGACAATAACCCCCCCCCCCCCCCCCACTCCTTTCCCCCAACCCCTACCCCCCCCCCCCCCCTACGTGAAAGCAGCTTTTCCTCTTAGTTACCTCCTCTAAGTTTAAAATCGTTTCAAACTAAATTATCTGCCCCTAATAGCCGCCACTAAACCCGGCTCTACGAATGTAAACATTTAGCGTGAACCACAGCTATCCAGACTATGTGGGGGTCGGAGTGGTAGGGATATGCCTAGAGAGGAAGAGAGGGGCTGTTATATATATATAGATGGGGGCAAATGTTCTTTTTATATAATGAATGTAAGTTTGTTGTCACTGAAAAAAAAATTGTTTTCAATTTGTTATCTAAATATTTTTATTAATTATTTTTTAACCCTTTTTCCAAAATAGGAAGTATTATTGTGTGTCACATATTTTTTTGCAATTTTTGTTTACATGTTTGATTATATTTCTATTATGTTCATAACAGATTGCAGACAGATTTTTTTACTGTCACTCTCAATTGAATTAGAATTTCTATACGCCATGTTTTATTAAATAAGCTTATGGGTTCAATTAAAATTGGGATGGACAAAGGCTATGGAACCATATTACTTCAAGAAATGCAACCAAGAAACAACTCTCTAACACCAACACCCCCCTCCCCACGCCATAGATCAAATTTGACACCATTATAAACCAAATCCTGTGTCGTATAACATCAGCACAAGCTCTTGTTGTTTTATCAACTACCCATGGATCACCACAGGTATTATGAATCGATAAATCAATTACAACATACATCTAGAAATAAGCTCGCAGAAAAGTTATCGATAATTATTGACTTAACCGCTTGACTATAGTAATTCAGTATTGCCAATACTGTAACCTAACCCAAATACATCATTACATCATCTAGCAACAGCATGTCCTTATTTTAGTCACACGATCAGGTATATTCATTTTCGAGCTTATAAGTAAATCTGATAGATAAAAGGAACATTAATATATATATATATATATATATATATATATATATATATATATATATATATATATATATATATATATATATGCATATATATATATATATATATATATATATAAATATATATATATATATATATATATATATATATATATATATATATATATATATATATATATATATATAGCTGAAGTTGTTATTTGTGTATTAACAAAAAGAAGATTATTATGTAGTCTTAATAATTGTGTAAATATTATTCACAACATTTTTTTACATTTGATCTTTACAGCTTACAACAGCCAGCTTACGTTTAACCACTTAACGTCACAAATAAAATTATAATTTTAATGGCGTTGTCAGGTAATAAAAAAACGTCAAAGCCTCCGGAAATACCATTTGAAGACTTTGCCCTTAAAGATATAGGCCTACCAAACAGTGACTTACAAAGACCAGAATTACATCGATGTTTTCTTCTACTTGCTCAAATAACCGTGGGGATATCAAAGTGGGAAACAAATGATTCCGGGACATCTGGTGGCTTCTCTACCTCAGAGCCGTTGAGCAATGGTCAGGATCAGGGCAAGATGGACGTCCCAGGGCCGTTGAGCAGTGGCCAGGATCAGGGCAAGATGGACGTCCCAGAGCCGTCCAGCAGTGGTCAAGATCAGGGCAAGATGGACGTCCCAGAGCCGTTGAGCAGTGGTCAGGATCAGGGCAAGATGGACGTCCCAGAGCCGTCCAGCAGTGGTCAAGATCAGGGCAAGATGGACGTCCCAGAGCCGTTGAGCAGTGGTCAGGATCAGGGCAAGATGGACGTCCCAGAGCCGTCCAGCAGTGGTCAAGATCAGGGCAAGATGGACGTCCCAGAGCCGTTGAGCAGTGGCCAGGATCAGGGCAAGATGGACGTCCCAGAGCCGTCCAGCAGTGGTCAAGATCAGGGCAAGATGGACGTCCCAGGGCCGTTGAGCAGTGGCCAGGATCAGGGCAAGATGGACGTCCCAGAGCCGTCGAGCAGTGGTCAAGATCAGGGCAAGATGGACGTCCCAGAGCCGTCGAGCAGTGGTCAGGATCAGGGCAAGATGGACGTCCCAGAGCCGTCCAGCAGTGGTCAAGATCAGGGCAAGATGGACGTCCCAGAGCCGTTGAGCAGTGGTCAGGATCAGGGCAAGATGGACGTCCCAGAGCCGTCCAGCAGTGGTCAAGATCAGGGCAAGATGGACGTCCCAGAGCCGTTGAGCAGTGGTCAGGATCAGGGCAAGATGGACGTCCCAGGGCCGTCCAGCAGTGGTCAAGATCAGGGCAAGATGGAAGTCCCAGAGCCGTCGAGCAGTGGTCAAGATCAGGGCAAGATGGACGTCCCAGAGCCGTCGAGCAGTGGTCAAGATCAGGGCAAGATGGACGTCCCAGAGCCGTCGAGCAGTGGTCAGGATCAGGGCAAGATGGACGTCCCAGAGCCGTTGAGCAGTGGTCAAGATCAGGGCAAGATGGACGTCCCAGAGCCGTCCAGCAGTGGTCAAGATCAGGGCAAGATGGCCGTGTTTCTGGGACTTGGGTTTATAAGTGAAGCCAAATTTGTTGAAGATTCCGTGGATGTCTGTGGAAAAGTAACAATCGTCACCTCGCAACGAACTCTGGTGAACTACCAAGGAGACGTTCAAGTGTCTTTTTTCAATAACAAAGGCACGGGACGCGACACTTTCACCGTGGTAGGCCATCTGGAGCCGACTCAGTTTGACACTGTCTACTTCATAAAATGTTCAGCTGAAGGAGAACATTTTAAAAACATTGTGAAAGCTTGGTCCGATTTTAAAACATGCCAAAATAAGTTATCAAAAATTCTTGGAATAGTCAAGTTAAGTTCAACTTTATTTGTTGCTATAAGCCAAAAACGTGGGAAAGCAAAAAAGATTGTGATCTCAGAAACGGGAAATCTTTACACCTACAAATCCATCATTAATGACCTAGATTTGTACGTCTATTCCTGCAAAACATCACATCTCAGAGGCTCACCACTGATTATCATTGATCAAAGAGCTCTTAAACTTGCCTGTCTTGTTGAAGAAGTAGATTGAATATTATTTATATTTGTTTTGATTTTATTTTCTTAAATTAGTTTCAATTTTAAAATGTACTTCGATGTTATTTGTATACAACTGAGTACAGATTTATTTATTTTTTTAAGTTTGTTTTTTTTTGTAATTTCGATGTAATTTTTAAGATAATGTATGTGTGTTGTTGTTCTTTTCATTAAACCCTTTCAAACCTTCATATTTCACATGATACGCACAGTTCAAGGTCAGTTAAAAATGTATTTATTGCAGCCAGTCAGCATATGTTTAGTAATACCTTTAAATGCGGAGATGTTTTATTCAATTATTTCAATTCTGTTTGTCACTGAAATTAAAGTGTTATTTTCATACGTGACTTGTATTCAATATTAATGTGTTTGTGTGGTTTTTTTTAATATCTATAATAATATATGTAGTAAGAATGTACAAATGTTAGTGTCAATAATCTGTGGGAATCCTTAATCTTTAATAAACATTAGTTATTTTACAGTCAACTTTTATAAAAGTTGTTCACATTAGGGCGTTGCTAATAGGTTGCTTTGAATTTTTGTTGCTTTTATGACGAATGCCATAAACATTAAAATGCGCCGGCTATACAACTTTTAATGTTTGATTTAAACAAATTATTGATTATTCTGTTTTTATTGTTCGGAATTCAAGAACTGTTTTTTTAACTTACTTTCTTTACTTTAAAAAATGTATAAATCTAGTTCGAAGATGAAAGCTTTTAATAATGATTTACTTTACTAGACGTAACGTTTATTGACACGAGACGTAAAATATTAATTGACAGTGACTTTGAATTGGTAAACTTACATTGTGTAATATTAAGCTACTAATGAAACGTTTGTCTACATTAGGGAACTAAATATCATTACAAGAGATAAAGAGACTTAACGATAGATCGATATGCAGAAGCTGATAAAATAAACGTAATTCTTATTGAATATCCGTAACAATTAGAACAATGAGACCTAACATTAATAATAATTGATTGTCGGCATAAGTATGATATTTTCACTAATTTATTGAATATGAATATCGATTAATTTTAGGAATGAAAATGTTGTTTTAAAAAGTATGCTACAAAGTAGGCATGGCGGATTGAGGAGTGCTGTTCAAGCTAATTTGTATTGTAATATTCAAACACTGGAACTTTTACCTCCTTAGATTAGGGAAGGTTTCAGAATCCATCTAAACATCAGTACATAACTTAAAGCTACTAATTATTTTATTCTTTTGTGTTGCAGATACTATGGAAAACTCAAATGATGATGATGAAGAAGAATGTAAGATTTTTTAAATAGAACGTTCATGATGTTTTTATTTTCCGCTACCTCTTCTGGTTGGCAAACAAAACTGTAATGTATATAAAAAAAACTATTAAACTCCATCACTTTGTCATTGGATCTCGGTAGATCTAATGGCAGCAAAAGTTTACACACCCCAGCCTCCTCATGTGTGTCATTATTGATTGGCCTTCGAATTTGATTTGTCTCATAATGTAGGCAAGGGACAGTACCATAGATGTAGAGCTATGTTAATACAGTTTACGTAGAAACTCAAGCGTATAATTAAATCAAACATAAATTCATCTGGTAACTCATGGAGACATTTATCTGGTAAATTAATGGGGAATTCATTTAGTAAATCTGAAATTCATTCGTCGGGTAAAGCAATGAGAAATTATTCACCTAAATTAATGAGGAATTAATCAACGGAGAAATGCATCTGGTAGTAAAATAGAAAAAAAGTGATTTTATTTTTTTCATTGACAGATACGACAGAAGAAATAAAGGATATAACAGCCGCCAACTGCCCCAAAAAAAGCTTTCATAGTGACTATATCGACATTAAAGAATTCGCCCTGAAACATATACCCAGTGGTCCATTCAGGACAGTAGATGTTCACTACTGTGTTCTACTAATGGCCCAACTGACGGTTTTGATTCGTGCTCCTCACCCTAAGGGAACTGGATTTGTTCAGCGTGTACGACGTAAAACAGGATGTCCTTGTCCTTGTGGAGACTGTAGGAAAAATGGGCAGGGAGGTGTGTCAGAATGGGGTGTGGTGACGGTTTCTACTGTGTTTCATGTGATTCAAAACCAGGAGGACGCTGGGAAATCTACAGCCTTGTTGTACAATGACGGTGAAGGCTACAGTAAAAAGAAAATACACGGTTACAGACTTTTAGAAACGGATAAGGATGTGGGGCAAAACGATTGGTGTGCAGTTGAATATGTAACGCATGAAAAAATCGTATTGGATAGACTGGAAAATGATTTGAGAGAATTCGAAGACTTGCAGGGGTTGCTGTATTCTAAGTATAAACGGGTTGTGAAGGACAACCTTGTCGTGGTTGTTGGGCATCCCCATGGCAGGTGTAAGAAGGTTAGTGTCGGGACGTATGTACGGAGGGAGACACTTAAAGATGTCAGGGACAGGCAGAACTGGTGCAGGTACCTGTACAAGGGGGCACTGACCTGTGAGGGCAGTAGCGGGTCACCGCTGTTAATCCCTGGTCAGCCAATCTGTGGGTTTGGGTACTGGTTCGGACATGCACATAATCACTCCAAGACGGTAACACTCAAGTCTAGCCATCCGACAGCTGGTGATTTGAAATCCCTGAGTTCTGTGGGTGTAGATCATCTATTGAGTCAACGAGTGTAAGATTTGGAGGTTTGAAATCCTTGTGTAAACCTGGATTTTGTATGTGTTTTCAAATATTGAAAAAAAAAGTTACTTTGAAGACGCTTTTAAACACAATTTGCTTAACGCTTTTATTCGTAGCAACATTTAGGAAAAAATATAATTTAACACCACATTCCAACACATTAGTAACTTTACAAGCAACATGTTTTATGTGTGTTATAATACTCACTGCAGTAGAGAACCAAAATAAGGATCTACAAGTCTAATGTACGTTCTGTACTCCTCTATGCTGCAGAGTTATGGAAACTAAACAAGAAAGGAGAGAGCCGACGCAGAGGCTTTGAAAGAAGGTCCCTCCAACGCATCCTCAGGATAAAGTGGGACGACAAAGTCCAGAACAAGAAAATACGACGAAGGGCAGGATTAAACGACATTGTTTCAGAAGTTCGAATGAGGAGATGGAGATGGCTGGGCCATGTCCTACGCTTGAACAAAAGATGACCCCCAACATGGCGCTAAAGTGGACTCCGCCTGGAAAGCGAAAGAGAGGAAGACCACTGGGAACATGGAGGAGAGAGATGGAAGAAGAAGTACAGGCTACTGGCAAGACCTGGCATGAATTAAAGTGGCTCGCCCAAGACAGAGTGGAATGGCGGAGATTTGTTACTGCCCTGTACTCCACAGGGAGTGATGAGGATTAAGTAATAATACTCATGTGTTCTTATGGATACTGATAACTTTTATTTTAGTGGGTTGTTGTTTGTTTTGTTTTGTTTTGTTTTGTTTTTGTTGTTGATGTTGTTTTTTTACTTTTGTTTATCACAGTCTTGGCTGATTGGAAAGTTAATTTTTTTTCACTAATTTTATTTATCAATAAAATGGAAAATAAAGTTATACAAGTTTTGCTTTGAACAGTGTTGACTTATAGTGTGTTAGCAATAAAAACAAGAAACGATCAAGCGCAAGTAGATGTGTGATGGGTTATAGATCTACCAACTAACCAGAGAAAACCTCATAGCACTCAATTCGTGTGAAGAGGCTTACTAATATAAATAGTAACTATCCATTGTATTTAAAATATGTAATTATGTACAACTGTTTAAGTTTCTTATAAATATTTTTAGTTATATACAATAGGATAAAAAAAACACACGATGTAACCAATTATTTGTTGCTGATATATTGGTCCATATATAGGGAAGTCACAGGGGCAAGTTTACATAAACCGGGAGTGATCTCCCCTAAACTTTCTCGAATATTCTTATATGAAACAACAGGGAATGGCAACTCGGGATATAGACATGACTTTTAATCCACTTTAAATACTTAAACTTTTTTAAAATAGAATAAAATCTCGTAGAAAAGGGAATTGCACACCAAGTGAGCGTCAAATAAAATGTGCAAAATAGTGCGGAATATTATTAGTACTTTATAAATTCACATGAGTTTTTTGAGAAATCGGAAATAGCGAAAATTATTACTTCCGATCAACCGAAATTACTCAAAATTTGATAGAAGTCAGAAAATTAGATCTTTTACTTACATATGAAATTTCATTTATCCATCTGAAATAGTACTCAAGTTATAGGCTTTTGAAAAATTCAAAGTAGAAAAAGTTCCACTTTCGGTTATCGGAAATCGCTCAAAAGTTGATACGGATCTACGATTTTGATATGATACTTATGCATGAAATTTCATCAACCTAGCTGTAACAGTACTCAAGTTATCGTGTTTACACACACACACACACACATACGGATAGAATTGGATAATCCAGTTTTTCCGACTCCATTACGCATAAAACGCCAAAATTTTGATATATCTGGATTTATAATTTTTGCCCCATTAAAATAAGTCCTCTACATCCCGGATGTGATAAAGTACTGAGGAGTTAAACGGTGAAAACTGTCCAAATTTAATGTGATTTTTGTGAAACGATAACAAGACTTTCTCTATACTTCGTATATACGAGAAAGTAACAAGTGCCCTACTAATATCACAATATAAACATTATGAAAGAAAAGATGTACAAATCCAAGTGCTCATAAATAATCTGCATAAACAGCATATTTTAACGTTTATTGCGTTGTAATTGGGTTGAATAATATGACATATTTTTGTGTTTATACAAATTGTTGGCATACTTGTATTGTGTTTATTAATATCAAATGTAGTGTTTCTTTTTAAAAAAAAACAAAAAATAACTAACCAATTTTGGCACACTTGTTTCACAATTTCAACAGAATTAATGAATCCAACGAATATAGTATACACTTTTTTTCAAAGTTTGTCGGTATTTAACATATAGTCCCGTGAAGGCACATGATCGGTCTACTATATTCGGTTTCTTTGATTTCTTTACGACATTTGGTGGTAACACCACCTTTCTGTTTATCCTGTGTACACTCCCGTCATCTCCAGTCGCATGGACCCCATTGTCCACCTTACAAGGATATCAACTAGCATTGTCTCTTGGCGTTCCACCTTGTTGACTGATTTCGATGATGCCATCGGCTTTTGACCAGGTTCTTTGATGGTTGTCTCACCTCGTTGACATAGAAGGAGCTATAAAAGATAGTAGTGACCGCATTTCGCAATATTTAGGTGTTGATCCTTTGTGTTTAAGACACTCCCGTAATCTTCAGTCGCTTGACCCAATGGTTCACTTTATAAGGATAGCAACTAGCCTCGTTGTGATTCTGGTAAGACACATTTCTAACTAGACAATTATATAGCAGGAAATTGTATATTTTAATTACCAAGAAGTATAACTATAATAAAAGAGGTCTACTTTTTTTGAATAGAGTAGGCTTTCACGTAGATAACATACATAACATATTTTAATAAGTTACGTTATCACAAATATACTATTGTAATAGCATCCTCCTCTTTGTATTAAAAAAAACTTTATAAGTTATATTTTCTTTTAGTAGGCTATTCACTTGGAGTTACCTAACAATCAGCAAAAGTGATTTTAATATACCGGTAGCGATCTCCCCTAAACTTTCTACGAGATTCTATTCTATTTTTAAAAGTTTAAGTAATTAACAATGGATTAAAATCATCATCCCCCGTAGTGTTATATAACAGTATTCGAGAAAGTTTAAGGGAGATCACTCCCGGTTTGTTAGGTTATGCACAGGCCCAGTAAGTTTTAAAACTACAAGTATAGGGAATACGTTGCTGAGGGTGCAGATATCAGTGTTTAAAAAGAGGGAATAAAGACCCTGATTCAATTAATTGCTTATAGTTAAAACGTCACAAAATATTTGCAGTTATTCCGTAGAAAATCGCACAATCATAAGATCTTTATAACATTCCTTTCCATTTTACACCTTACTGAAATCTGGTTCATATTATTAACATGAGTTGACATTACTTTTATTCATAGTCTCTCAATGTGAACTCATTATTTTCTATACTAATAATATCGATGTAATTCTCACATCAGTGACATCAAGTTAGTGGAATAAACGACATAGATACGTTAACTAAATGTTGAATAATTTGAGATTGTGTTGTATATTACAGTCAAATATATGAGTTTAAGATATTTTTATTAAATGTATTTTTATACAAGGATCTGTATTATGTAAATTGAAATAATATTGTTACTCTGTACACACATTTTAAAATTTACTAGTAATGAAAAAGATTATATTCGGAGAAAAAGTTGGATTTCAGAGATATATTTTCATATTTCTCGACTCTCCCAGTGCCAAACTCGAGTTATTGTACTAGTGGGCTGCTATCATTGTAATTTTATACATTAACTGACCATCGAGTTACCTCCAGTAATTTAAATCATGATGTAGTAAAGCTATTTGAGTTTGCTAAACCTATAATAAATTTTAGTATCCTTGATTAATCTAATCAAAAGCTTTATTAACTCAAATTTTACTTAAGTAAATGAAGGAAATGATAACAAAACATTTATTTCAAACGTACATTTTATTCGTGGTTTGAATGATTTTTTTAATAGCTTTAACATGTAAACAGTTGCTGTATGCCTATTAATAATTTTGTTACATTAATTGTTTTTTTTTTTCTGTGTCTCGTGGACAATTATAAAATTATTGACTTCTAGATGTGAGAATTATAAAATAAAAATACATTTTATGTCGTAAAAAAAATTCGTAAAGTAAATTATATGATTGGTAAATGTTTGTAAAAAAATTAAACATATTTTAATTCCGATTAATTAAGGAAAATGTTAAATATAGCATTGAGTTGGCAGCTGTACACTTTGGGAGTACAATTTGTCATCTTCAAAAATGTTTTGCAATTGTTATTTTTTTGGACACTTTTGTTTTTAAATCATGGTCTTGCCAACATTTATTCTCAGTTTACATTAATTTTCTATATTGGTTACGTTTTTTAGAAAATATTAATTTATTGAATAGGCCGAAAATGACTATTTTTGTTATTCCTAATGTTTGCCAGACTAAACTTACATAAGCCTAGATTTAGATTAATTTAACATGGTACAAGCATATACGTTGATGTGCATAATTTAAATCGAAATAGTCAAATTAATTATCTAAAACATGAAGATTAACTTGCATGTATAGACATACTATTAATCCGAATCATCACTGTCAGGGTTAACGTTGATTGTGCTGCCATTCATAGCTGTGTTCGTAGAACTGTGGATACTGATTGATCTTGCGGAGTTTACACGGCACCTCCCATGTTGTATATTAATGTTACTGGTAAACAAGATGTAAGTCGTTTATAATATATATATATATATATATATATATATATATATATATATATATATATATATATATATATATATATATATATGTATGTATATATATATCTTTTATTTCATCCAATTCCTGTATGTCGACTATGTCGTTTATTATATATATATATGTATATATATATATATATATATATATATATATATATATATATATATATATATATATAGATAGATAGATAGATAGATAGATAGATAGATAGATAGATAGATAGATAGATAGATAGATAGATAGATAGATAGATAGATA